AAAGCAACAGAAGAGAAGACACATTTTTTTAATCTGGACACATACAGCAGGTAGGGCTGGAAGTGGAGTTGGGACCTAACTGAACTTGCTATGTTCTTTGTTTTCTGTTGAAATGAGAACCTAACTGAATCTTCATCTGAGATGGATTCTCTCCATCTCATGACAGCTACCAGCATTTTCTGTATCAGCCAAGGACTTCCAAGAGCTGCCAGTTTTCCATGAGCTTTGTGACTTTGATGCACTGCTTAGACTGGCACTGATGTGACACTCATGGATTCAGTTTCGAGGGCCCTCTTCTGTTCATTCTGGTTGCAGTAAAAACATAAAAATACAAACTTCAGAGGTTCAAACACTTATACCAAAAAGAACGGAACACAAAAAGAGCACCAAGCCAACCCTACCAGTATCTATTACTCACACAGCTTTATAAAGCTCTTTCAGCAGACTTTACCCCTCTGCAAGAACAAGAGGATCCAAACAGTGCTTCTGTATGTAACAGGCCCAGCCAGACTGTGTTCCTCCTAGCTGGGTGCAGCTGAACATCCCACATGTAATAGATGCTCCACAGAGTGGGTATTTTCCAGGCTCACTCCCCCATGGAGACACTTGGGAAGACTCTGATTTTTTTTTTTTCTTCTTTTTTTTGTTTTTTTTTTCCAGCCTGTACTAGCTTAAGTGTGGGCAGTCAGGATGTGAATGAGAGATGTGCAAACATGGAGCTAAAAATTAAGCTCATACATTGCTTGTTGCAATCAGGTTGAATGGACGTGCCTGACTTTGGGACAAAACTTCAATTTATCTTCAGTGAGGCCTAAATTAGTTTGCTCTTACCTGTTTTTGTTGCACTGTAAATGTTTTCAATGGGGAAGACAGTGCCCAGTCCATAGAGAAGCACTTTAGCAAGAGCTGGTATAAGCTGAGTTGTGGTGACCAACACATTCACACAGTTAGGCCTAGAAAATAAAAATTCAAAGAAGTGGCAATCTGTGTTTCTCTCTTACTCTAGACTGAAAGATGGCAGGAAGCAAACCCTTCTTGTGACTGGAAGTTCCCAAGCCAATTGGGAGATTATGCAGCTAGCGGCAGATACAGATACCAGAGGACTGGTAATGTCTTTTTATCAACTTAGTAGAATGAAAAAAACATAAAACAAACTAGCAGCAGTGATGCAGCCTTACTGCAGGCATGCCAGGATCTATTTTGCGGGAATTTAAACGTCACGTAGTAAGGTCCGTGCTGGGTTCTTTGAGTGGACATGTTCAGGGATAGAAGGGCCCTTTGTAGATCTGCTCACATGAAAAGTGTGCCACAAATGAGGTAGCCAAGGAAAGGCAAGAAAAAGGTATTGTTTCTTCTTTTGCTCAGCTCATCATCTGAAGCTCACCCCAATCCTTGATAATTCAAGTCTGGCAAGCATGTGCAGACTGGCCTCCCACAGGTTTGGCCAGCAAAGTCCTATAAGTGTCTCTCAATTTGTTTGGCGCGGGGGGGGAGAAAGGGAAGCAAAGGAGATCCTGGATCAAGCCTGTAGGCAATTCTTTAAGCTGTTCTTACCGGGAATGTATCAAATTCAGCGCCTTCAGAGCATGTGTGAGCCAGAGATCAGTCAGCGCTTCAAGTTCTGCTCTTAACTGCAGCCAGGTTTCCCTCTTCGGAGCTCCTATTAAACCTGTAAGCAGGGAAAGCATCTTTGCGGAAGCACAGCAAGGGAGTTGCATGGCTCCTTGCAAGGGCTCCTGCCTGTGTTCTGAACCCTCTCTCTCGGTGCCCTTCCCTTGGCCCTGGTTCCAACCCGTTCCTGTTGCCCACTGCCGTGTCACTCCAAGGCTCTGCCTTCAGGAGCATGAGGCCCGTCTGCAGCATGCTCCTGTGCCACCGCAGCTCAGCTTCCTTCCCCTCCGCTGCAATGGCATCAGCCACCTGCACACTGTGGGACCTTGTCAAAACACCATTCTTGGAGTTAGCATAAAGCTCGTGTGGGAAGTGAGCAAGAGGATGAAAGAGCTGTGTATAGCAAGTAGTGGCCTCAGCTAAGAGACGTTTGAAGCCAGGATGGTTTTGTTTCTCCTGAAAAGCTGCGCACCATTTCCAGTACATGCAGGGACTAAAAAAAAAATAATGTTGTGGTGATATTCTGAGTTTGGCTTCTTTCTTTTTCTAATCAGAGACCTGGCACTGATGTTCTAAGGGAGGAGCAGAGCAGCCTGTTGGAAGAACTGTCTGGAACTAGCTGAGATGAAGGAACCCAGGGCATCTTAGTATCTGGTGGTATTGTTTTGGGGGAGTTAAGAACAAGCTGTTATGATACAAGAATGCCTTCAGATGGAGATCAGACATGTGTTCTGTGGGGAAAAAAAGCATATTTAGTTTTGAACTGATTGCTTGCTTACTAAGCATTTTTGAAAATTGGAGAAGGTTGCTTTCCTGCCAAAGAGATTATGAAATGCAGCCCCACACTCAGACTTGACTCCTCCAACCACTAAGCCAGGTATTTTAGCATACCTCCTGCAAATCCTGTGCAGAACCTTATTTATGGATGACTGCTGAAACACTTGCTCAGGTCAGTGTGAAGTGTTCTTATCATGATGCTCCCTACACCCCTTCCATAGCATGTCTCTAGCAGCGTCAGGAGTATTTGGGAAGATAAAAGGCACGCTTGCCGCCTGGCCATAGACACTTACCTCCTACATTGTTTTTGTAGGTGTTGTACATCTCTTTCACCCGACGGTAGCGGAATGCTAATTTCCTCATCCAGTCAACTCCCCCATGCACTCCTGAGCCCAGACACAGATTTGCACTGGCGGTTGAACTGTGAAAGCCATCTGCAGAGAAGTTGTATGTGCTGGGAAAGGGAGGAGGGAAGGGGAGAGGTCAGTATGATTACAGTCTGTGCAGTGCCAGCAGGGAGTGGAAACAATTGAAAAGAAATGTGGAGACAAGTGGCAGCAGAGATACACACAGGACACACTGTACAGAGCTGGAGTTCATCTCTAGCGTGGTTACTAGCACAGGTTTAAAAAAATGTTCTTACTGTAAACAGAATGCTGGTTACTTAGCACTCCCTGCCAGTTCTGAGGTTCTCTGGACTATAAAACATCTGACTGTCCTCAGGTCATTGAAACTCCTCACCTGCCCCTCATCCAGGCTGCTAAGGTCACTGCAGAAATACTCAAATCCTAAAGGAGAAAATTCTGGCGCTACCTTTCTGACTGCGTGACTATATTGCTAAATGGGCTCTGAACACACATTAGATCAAGAAAAAAAATTAAGAAATTAACTAAAGGAGCCTTAACAGCCTGCAACATGTAACATTTGGGTGGGGTTTTTTTTTTTAACTGAGTTAATATTTCAAAGCAACTCTAGAGTAATTACCACAATGAATTAGGGGCAAGTGACACAACACCTAAACCAGGCAGTTTCTCTGAAGGAAGCAATCCTGCCTTCCACCAGACATTTATTCCTGTCTTCAGCCCTCTTTGATGTCCCTTTCTTTGTGCCAGCACAAGTGCTTCTTCAAGCACTGAGGTGAATCACATCAGGGAACTGTTCCAGGTAAAAGATAATACAGCTTTAAAAAAAAGAAGTTGCTTTTCAGCCAGATCAGTTCCCTCCTTTCAGGGAGTGGGGGCACGCAAAGAGGCAGTACTCACTCATGTCACATTAAAATGTTTGCCGGATGACAGCATCAGGATGGGTTTCATGGTTTGAGCAGGTATCAGACTGAGCTGCGATGGAAGAGGGCAGCTGCTGCTCATGAGGCACAGTTGGGCTGGATCAGGTCACAGACCCAGCAGTTTTGGACAAACTCAGCTTGAACAGCGCAAGGGAAGGGACAGAAAGGCTCAGTGGCACGGACCTATCCTTCTCAGCTGCAGCTTGAAGTTAGTTCAGCTCATAGAGCTTCTGACACCTCACTGGCGGAGCAGCCAGTGCACGTCCTGATTTACTGCACAGTAATTTCCCCTTCTAGAAAGCCCTGATGCCACTTTAATCCTGTGTTTTTAGGTACATGATGATCTAACTTATGCAGATAATAATGTTTGGTGCAGTTTTGGTACAAGTTTCTACCAGAGACAAGGCTCTGCCATGGCAAGGTCCATAATCCTCACTACTAAGCCCATTCATGATAGACTGGGCAACAGGAAACCTTTCAATTTGGTTTTGAAGCATTTTGTGCCCACCGGCTGGCCAAATCTTATCAGAAACTAGTGTAGTTTGGCTGGAGTCCAACCTACTTTTAGACAGATTTCCCAGCATGGTTCAAAGCTCAGTACAGCCAGGGCTTGACAGCAGGCACAGGCATATTTATGCGAGAAAGGGCACTGTTGTGCTTCTGTGTGCTTAATAAATGCAGACAGCATGGAGCCAGGGAGGGGAGAGGCGCATGGCTGAGAATGTTACTCTGCATCACTGACCAGCCCCCTGCTATTTTCAAACAGCTGGGGACTACCTGACCTGCAGCTTCCAGCCTGAAGATCCCGTACCTTAGGTCTTGACCATTATCGTCCGACGATACATCATCTATGTGGATCTGGTCACAGTCCTGAGAAACGTATGAAAAAAAAACCAGCAGTAAGTAAATGCTTTGAAAAAAATTTTGGAAGAACATAATGAAAAATTACTTCAAGGGTGCCACTAAGGAAGCAAAAACCTTATATATTGCTGGTGTTGTCTGGCATAGTCCAGCCAGTTAATTGTTAGGAACAAGTACCACATTGCACTTGCAGAAAATATGAATAGACACTGTGTGTGTGAGAGAGCTGCTGTTATCTGAGGGCACAACAGCTCTTGAACAATACAGCAAATGAAACTCCTTCCTAAGCAGACAGGAGGGAGAGAGAGGCTTGTGTTTGAACCAGGAAAGCTGTGGGGTTTAAACGTTGTATGCATGATAAGGCAGAGATTTGGCAGCCTCTCCCCCTTTGAGAATACTGCTTTGGATAGGAGGTGTATGCCCATATAATTACAAGGGGAGAAGATCTGTCCCAAAGAAATTCCAGAGACGTCTGTCCTGCTGGTGTTTTCCCAGTTTGTTCTGAGGGGCCTGAGCTTCCTTTGATGTGCAGGGAAGCTGGGCTGAAGCACTGGAGGCAGCACCTATCACAGCCCCAGCCAGAGTTAAGGAATAGTGCGTGTCAGTAATGAGGAAATCTATGCACAGGAAATTTAACCAGAATATATACTTGGAGCTCGGCCTGCATGAAGTACGTACTCGAGATCTTATCTTCCAAAATTCTTCATTGTTTGAATGGTGGAAGCCCTGCCTCAAAAATCTGAGAAATGTTATTTCTTTGGTTTCTTTCCTACTCTTAGCATTAAGATTAGAAAGAGAAAAATCAGGAAGCTTTTCCCACCACCTTTAATCTCCTTTCTCCACAACCCCTGCAGGTAAGAACAAGCCAAAAAGCTTCAAGCGGATGAACACTATCTTTTGTTCTGGCTGATTTTTCAACAGAGGTAAAAGCACTTGGTACAACAGGACTCCAAAGTCAGAACAACTGCAGCTAACCAGGGTACAGTTATTCTTCACCCCTTCAGTATTCTGTAAACCACAGAATTTTTTCTTACCTTCCTTACACAATTATGAGTTTTATGAATTACTTTAAACTAGCCCCTTTCAAAAAAAGAAAAAAATCCCCCAAACAAGTAACCAAACTTGCTATCGGTGGCAAAGTGTCACAGATAGTTCTTGTCCATAATCATGACATTTTCTGCAGCATTTATTTTAAGTAATTCTCAAAAAGATACAGGATTTTATCTTGTTCTCGTCTCATCAGTCCTTTTATCAACCTGTCACTGGGGTATATATTTCTGTATATAACTGCAGCCAAGCAGCTATGTTCACTATTCAGCAGATCTCTGCTGGCACCTCTCTCCCCCCTCCATCCCCACCATTTTTTTAAGCCCCTCTCCCAGTAGCTGTTGTGAGCCATGCTGGGATAATATTGATGCAGCCCACTCCACTCCAGTTGTATGATGCCGGGCATTAAGTCAGGGGAAAGGTATTTGTGGAGGGATCTGTTTTTCTCATTTGTGAATGAATTGTTCTGTACACTGAAGTGTGACAACAGTAGCTATCACATTTCTAACTTAATAAAATACCATGACACTTGGTGAGACGCTACCTCATAGTCCACCGGCTGAGCCTATCGGGTTACTGGGTGAAACACAGGGAAGCTGGTTAAAGCAAGAATGTGGACCATGTTTTACTACTTGGTTACAAGACTAATTTTTCATTCTTCCAGAATTTCCTTGAAATCTTAGTGAGCAGGGAATCAGGGCAGGATATCTGGGCTGCTGAAAAGAAGGTCCAGATGGTTCGAATGGAAGTCTGCAATGGGGACATATCCCAGTGTTCCCATCTGCTGACTTTTTAAAATGATACTTTGGGATCTCAGAGGTATATGATGTGTGGCACATACAGCCTGTAACTCAAATGTGTAAGACCTCAGTCAACCCTCACAACTCTGGGAACTGAACTGTTTTTAGTGCTGTGATATCTTTAGGTCAGTCTGTGCTACACAACCAGCCTCCAGGTGGGACCAGACCCTTGTACCCACATGTAAAGGAGCCTGGGCTAACACAGCTTTGAAACAGTACTGCGGGCTTGGAGAAAGCCTCTGCTGCCTCCTTGTGAAACACAAGCTGCTCCTGAGGATGCTTGGCAAAGCTCCTTCTGCCATCACTTACTCTGAATCCTCTCAAGGTGTGTCACTTGCACATATGACAACAACTGATGAACACACAGGTTGTCTTATTTGTGTATCGGGGCTGTGTTAGATATTTTTAAACATCTCGTGGCTTCATTGATCAGTTGAGCTCACATCCCTCATTAGGTGGGGAGTTAACAGTTCCCAGAACACGCCACCTCCAGGGATGGCTCTGAAAGGCAGTAACTTGTAAACACACTAATCCCCTCATTTTTTCATTCCCCTTCCCCTTGCCAGTCCCCCTGTCCTTAATACCCGTTTTCCAGAGTGCTAGGCAATAACATCTCCAGAGGGACTGGGGGTGGAAGGTACTGTTCTTTAGCCGCTGTTGCGCCGTGAACAAAAGACATCCGGGAGAAAAAGCACAACCCTGGAAAGCCCAGGGTTCGCATTTTAACTTCACTGCGACCTGTAACCTTGGGCAGCTCCTATTCTCCCTGATTTCCCAAAAGGGGAACAGAGAGTGAGAATACCTCCTTTCAAGTGAATATTTGCTGATATATTCTTTGTACACAACACCTTGTATGGCCTATATTGCAGACTGTAGGGATTTAATCTGCCTGTACTGTGGCAATTGCAAGCAGAAATGATGTGGCTGACAGGCACGTAAGTACTACATGAGTGGATGAATTAGTGTGGCAAAACCACGCTTGTATGATTTCGACGTGTGGCTCAGCAAACACAGGACTTACTTGCCTGCGTTGTGTTGCTAACAACCTCCAGAACTGGGCAATGCTTGTGTTGCTGCGTGCCCTGGAAGTGCTACGCTCTGGCTGCCCTCGTCGAGGTTGGGTGCCTTGATTCTTTGCTAAGGGCCAGGCATGCCACTAAACTTCAAAAAGCATTGACCTCCTCCCTTGCCCTGATTCAGCTGGAAAAAAGTCCAGCTTCTAAGTTGTACAACTTAAGAGTTAACTTGCTGACAGAGAATCCCTTTCTGCAAAAAGACCAAAAGTGTTTGGTAGGAGTCTAGGTCTAAGGCTTCTCCAGTCACCTACCTGCCCTGGAGACCAGTGATCAGCCTCCTTCTATCCAACTAGCCTGAGTTTTGGGAGAATTGAATGGGAAATTGGCCTCTCTACTAGGCTGCAGCTCTACAGGAGAACAGGCTGAAGCTGGTTATCTGAATGGATCTCCTGGTTCACCCTTTCACATGTCCAAAATTCCCATTCCCGAGCATAGCAGGAAAAATGCATCCAGACAATGAATCCAGGAAATGGTTGCCTGAGTCCCTGCCAGGTAAATCCTGAAAACACATAAAGCCCTGGCTTATCACAGTCTCAGAATCATTTTTTCATTGGAAAAAGGTGTGTTCCAGTTCAGGCTCCTCACTCAAACTTTGAAGCCATGTTTTTGCTATGATGTGAAATCACATCCTCACCAGACTAAGGAGGATCATGCAAATGCTAGTAAGGGCTGTGCAAACCTCGCTGTCTCTATGGGCAAATGTTCCATCCTCATCAGGCACTTTTGGGGAATGCTTCAAAAGGGCTTTACACCCTGGCAGCATCTTCTGTTCCGCACAGCACTTAAAATTGCAGCCATTAAAATAAACCATTCCCCTATGCTAAAGCAAGGTAGTAACCGATTTCCTTGTCCAATCTGCCTCTCCGGTGAGGATGGGCAGCATTTCGTCCACTTCTCCCCCTGCCTCCGCTGTCAGGACTGAGGCCAACCACGCTCTGCTTGGTTCAGCCTGCTGGGCCCCCCAGAATGCCTGAACTTGGCTATGGATTTGTGCCAGAGAAATGTTTTGTTATGTTTAGCATTTTCTACCAGGAGTACGCTTGCTTTAGTCTCGAATGGGGCAACTATCCCACCGCCTTCTCAGTTACAGCTTCTTTCACCCTGCCCCAACACCGTCAGAACTGGTTTCAGCCCCGTGTAGTTTTAGTTTATTTTGTCTTGTACAGGCCAGTGTTACACCACATGATGGTGCTAAATGTATATGGTAATGTTTGTGGGTCCAGAAATCAATCAGCTCCTGTGCTTGTTTTTTATCAATTTCTTTTTTCTTTTACTTAGAATATCATTCACTGCATTTTTTTAAGCCTAGCACTTGGTGATGTATGATCCTTAAATATCACTTTGTGAATACTCAAACCTGACTTTCATTTATCACCCTAAATGAAGGAGTAGGATGGTTAACGAACAGAGATTGATGACTCTGTTGTTGCAAATTCTTTCAAACCAAAATGCTTTTTCTGGAAAGTGAAATTTAGCAAAGAACATTTACTTCTCTTGAATTCTCCTCATCCCTCATTTTTTTTCATTGAAAAGGCTCAGCTAAAACCAAACCACCTTGGTTTGGTTTTGGTTTGAAAAAAACATTGGTTTGTTTCACTTATCAAGCATGTGTGAAAAGGGAAAACTGAAATCTTTCAGTAGAAAATGCTCTTCTCTTTCCAGCCACCCGGGCCACGCATCATCGTTTAGAATGCTCAGCGGTTTTATCTTTGTTCTGGACCCAAGATAAAATTGTCTCACAATGCTCTCTCTTTGCTTGTTTCTGCTCTGGTTACCTGGAACACTACTTGTTTTCAAAGGTTTTTCATGGTTTTGAGGCATCTGGGTCCAGCAGCAAGTAGGTGCCTATGCTGTCCCTCTACACCCTCTGGCAAGTCCATTGACGCTATATTGGCTCACTCATTCAGCTGCCAACTTTGTGTTTCTCAATTTTTTTCGTAAAAGCAGGTAAGCTGATAAGATAGCCTAGGAAATCAGCAAAAATTGCTTCTCTTTTCTCATGCAGCAAAAAAATAGTGCTAGTAATGTAAATGTTTTTACCATCTTTGTAGGCCAAACTACTTAAGAGACAACCTCCCTTAATATTTTGCTGAACAGATGTGTCCTGTAGCACCTGGCTCTCTTCCTGTGTTGGGAGATAGAGTCCAGGTATTTTGCAGAAGGTTCTGATTTCTATTTGGAGACACGGTGCTAAAATTTAGCTCTTCACTGGACTAGTTCTTACTCAGTTACATAGTCCTGCTGGATGAGAGTGTCCTGTATCTGAGGGATTCTTGTTTAGCTTTTGATTTCTTAATGGTTAGAACCCACAAAAAAACCCCCACAACATACCAACTCTTTATAATTAAAACCTTTGCTCTACTGTAGTGGTTGAAGAACAACTTGAGAGGCCATGGGAGACAAAACTGATTTAGGGACTCTGCTTCTATAGCAGCCAAAGCTGCTACTGACTGATAAATGTACAGAATTTGAGGAAGGCCAGACAATTTGCTAATTGTTTCATGGTTTAGAGTGGTAAGTTAAGTAAGGAGAAAACTTGTTTTAAAATTATTTGCCAACTTATACTCTTGCAAAAGTCTAGATAGGCAGAAGGTTTCTGACGGGTGTCTTTGTGCAGGACATGGAGAGCTGCACCACATGTTGAGATCTGATGGGTGAAAAGTGCTAGTTGCGTATTAAATATTATCACTACTTATACAGTGCTCTGGACTCTCCAACAGCAGCTCTCTGTTTGTTTTTTTTTCCTAAGGGAAGGATTTCTTCACTTTGCACTTTCTGTACCCTCATCACCAATTCCCTCTTTGAAACAAACTGAAAGAGGAAAAATCTGTCAGTTCAGGTGCTACCCACTACTTGTCTTTGAAAGGAAATGAAAATTCTCAGCAAGTGAAAGCTCAGATTGTAAGCAGACAGGTGGCAGGAAAGGTTGTAACTTCTGCAACGCAGAGCACAGTGCAATTAAGCAGTGAAGGAACCAGAAATTCTTGCTGAACTCATCAGGCACAGAAGTTCTCTCATTTCATCTGGCACAGAAACAAATTCTTCCCATTTCAAGTGAAGAGAAAGGCCACAGAAGTCTGCCCAGGGATGCCAGATTCTTTCCCTCCAAGCAGTATTCTGACTTCAAGGTGCCCACAGCACCAGCCCCTCCTTACTCACTTTGTATGTGACTCACTCAGACTACTTCCACTGACTGCAAATGCAAACAAATTTTCATCAGCACTGTACAGCTGTTTCTCAGCTGGTGACAGAATTCTGCTCACATCACTTTGCTTGAATTTTACCATATATTCAAAAGGATTTTCGCTTTGTATAAGGCATAGTCAGTTCTAACCATGCCACAAACAGGACGGATTCTTCCTTTTGGTCTTTTATGTTGAAACTCCCATAGTTTCATCCTGCAGTGTGACTGAGCTTAAGCAGACCTCCTGCTCTGCCCGTGTGTGCGAACAGAGCTTCCTCAAGAACAGAGACCATTTTTAAAACCTCTGCATTGGCTCAGAGCTAATTGCTACCTGCCCCATAGGATCTATGCTAATTTAACTTAATAAAATTATTAAACAGCAAATTTCAGGAGAAGCAGCAGCAATGTCCTCATTATTAGATTTAGTAAAACTGCCAAAAGCCATCATTGTTACTCTGTATTTAGAAAAAAGCTCCTTAACAGAATGAAGATGTCAAAGGGACACAGTAAAGTATGCTTCCAATAAGCCATCTAAGACCCATTTCTTTGGGGTCAAAAATGAAAGTTTCTTGGCCAGAAAAACAAGTTTGTAGACCAGATGCAAATGATTAGAGAGAGAGATGTTAAATAAAATAAGCAGCTACATACCTCCAGGTCATTAAAGAACAGATGTGTATCTGCAAGGTTGAAGATCATTTCTTCCATCATAAGACCTATCCGCACAGATGTTGTAGTGTCCTGTTAGGGGAAAATCATTTTTTTTCCATTCACTTTGATTTTCTTTTTCTTTTTTTAGGGAGGTGGGAGATCTTAGAGCAATCATAGTATGTACACATTCCTGTTTCTGAAGATATGTTCATTAAAGTAATTTTATTTCCCAAGTGTATCTTAACATGATTTTCCCATCCTTTCTTTTGCTCCCCTAGATAATCAAATTCTGTTCTGTGAAGGATGTCTACAGCTCGCCTTGACCAGTAACAGCCCCCACACTTCAGATGATATAGCAAGAACCTTTAAACACCCGAGACTATGTAAGAATTGTGTCAGTAGGTTAGACCAAGAACTGATTTCCAGTAGTGTCATAAGTGAATGGTTAGGGGATAGTTACAAGCAGCAGAGCACACAGAGGGTGATCCTTTCTTGACTTCATCCTTCAAACCAGCCACAGAAAGCATTATTCTCTTCTAATGTCAAATACCAACTTGGTGAGCAAAATCTGAAATCAGAACCCAGGGGCTCGAACATAAATTCAGTCTCTTTCTCTACAGGGTGCGATCCATGTGTCTCAGCACACTCAGCTTAGGTCTTTGCTGCCATGCACAGAGCAGGACAGAAAGGCAGACGTGTTGTTCTCACGTCAGAGCCCAGCACATGGTACAGTATCCACTGTCCTCAGCCGCACACGTGTGCCTGGGCAGTGTATGCAAGAGCAGACCCACTACTGCAAAGCTCTTCCAGCCCCACTGAAGCTGCCTACTTAAAATTTAACAGCATCAGCAGAGTTAAAACAATCCCATCCTACCATGCAAACCCAATTATAGCAGGATAAAATGCTTGTCCAAGTATGACTGTTCCCGCTCAGGACAGAGCACGCTCTGCAGTGGTATAAAGCATGCTTGTGGAGCCAGAACTGTAGCCATAATGGCAGTTACACCCAAATAACTACATCGATTAAAAAAAAAAAAGACAAAACAAGACAAGACACAGCACAGTAAAATGCTGGATGGGTTCATCTGTCATTCTAGCTAGTGTTACAAATGACAACGTGCACCTGATGCTCCCGTCCGCGTGGACTGTGACGGGTTGCTTATGCTGCCGTTTTCTTGTGTCAGCAGCCCCCTGCCTAGCCAGGTGGGGATCTAACTTGGCCCTTCCCCAGGAGGGTCTCAAACCGCTTCCTAAAAGGGAAGGACAGGCTGCAGAAGCTCTGGGTGCCTGCAGCATTTTCCAAACACACTTTTTTAACGATTAAGAGAATGTGAAAATGCACGTGCCAGCAGCTCTAAAACGGCTTCTACACGTTCTTAAGCATGTGTGAACTTTCTCACATCCAGATCCTGCTCCTGCCAACAACAGTTGCAAAACCTTAATAATATTCCCCTGGAGCAGAACTATACTACCCACAGCTCTACTTCAGTGAGTTCAGTTGATTCGTTTTAGAGAAGTCATGTCTTTCCCTGTCCCTTGTTAACCGAGCCGAGACACCATGACTGCCTGGGAGAGGGCTGCCACTTCACTCCATCACCAAGTCAGCAAGCGCAAGCTTAAATCAGCTCAAGCTGATGGGACTGACTGCCTGGCCAGCGAAGCCACCACAGACCATCCCACGTGGCAGAAGTGACTGACACTTTTGGCTAGGCCGCTTCCCTTTCTTCTGGCCTGGAGGGCGACGCTAACAGCCGACTGCGTGCACACAGCAGAGCTACGGGGTCCTCCAAGCTGCCCCGTGGATGGGGGATGGTGGCCGCAGGGCTCCTACAGCCTCACAGCAGCCCAGCGGGCACAGGATGCAGCCTCCTGTTACTCTGAAACACAATCAAGTGACAGGCTGCATCCAGCGCAGTATTAAACGAGCCTCAGTCACTTTTCCATGTCTCTCATGCATAAAGTCAACCACCCCTCCACCCCCAAACAACTGACCTTGCTCCTAAACCCACAGCAAAAGCATAGAAACACACTGATGCAAACAAGGTTGCCAGCAGAATGTTTTCTTATTCATGAAAAACTTCAAAAACACAAGCAAAAATAATCTGTGGTTAATCTGATAAACACTCATAGCTCAAAAGCATTGTGCCTGTTCAAACTAAACAACAACAGATAACTTGGGGGGGAAAAAAAAAAAAGCACATCCCCATAACAGGCTTTTATTTGTAATTCATCTTCATTAGGCCAGGGATCTCTCATCTTTATGTTTATGTGGGTGGTTTTCCTCCACTAAAGTTACCAGCCATGCTAAACCAGGGCAGATTTATATGTAGTCTTTGCTCTAATTTTCTGCAGATTTCTGTGGAGTCGTGTTATTGTATAACAGGACCGTAATGAATTAGTTGAGGAGCTCTAACAGGGAGCTCAATGTTTGGAGGATGAGTACATTTCAATCAACCTTTGCGGCAGATGCTGTTGACATGGATGGTGTATTACACACTAACCTAATTATTACACATTCTTGGTGTAGTTCTCTTTAATTAGAGCAGAATGGCTGTGGTTTCAGCCATGTGTGTGACTCACAAGCATTGTGCCCATCTAAAGAAAAGCTCTGTCACTCGTGTTTAAACATGCTTGTTGCTGTCCCAGAAAGGACACTTTCTCCTCTGGGCAAAAAGTAAACTTCAGCAGACTTGCCTTGAACATGTCTCTGATTTTACACCCCTAACCTGCTTCCCTGACGAGGCACAGGGACACAGGCGTAATCAGGGCATCTGACTGTGGCCCCGTGTGAGCAGCACTGAATCAGATTTTACTACCCAGGTGTAGTTACACGGGGGAACTGTTTTGAAGAAAATATGCTGCTAGGAAGAAATTATTTTGTAAAATAGTTTTTAATGAAGCAATTTATTTTTATACATTTCAAGGATCATTAGCCTTTAAAACTCTTTCAGGAAATCTCATTGGTTGGTATCTGTCATTTATCCTCTAAGTTTTGTCTTTAGCTTTATTGGTATTAATCAGTAATGGGGAGTAGGAAACATTTCCACAGTGTATGAAGTTACCTTCTCTTAAACCAAACAATATGGAAATTGAACTGTAGATGACAGGAAAAAAAATCTTTCTCTTGAGATAGAGAATATGATGGAATGAAAATAAAACAGAGAAATGCACTTTACCACCCAGAGGGGAAGTCATTTGGGGAAATGATTTGGCATCACTGCTTTCACAGTATGGACATTTCCTCTACGGCAAGGCATGCTTCCAAGTGTTAAAGAGGCTGATAAAGTTAAAAGGCAAATCAGCACTCCCAGTATGATATAAGGTGTCTGGAGGCACTAGGCCAGGGTTCCACTGGCAGTTATTTATTTGCATTACTTTAGCATCTAGAAGCCCTAGTCCCAGACTTGAACCCCACTGTGCTAGCGGTTGTACCCGCAAAGACACAGTCGCTACAGCTTTCAGTTCAAGTATGAATAAACAGGAAAATCAGACTCATGGGAAAGCACCAAAATGAAATAGGGGTATCAATCAACATGTTGCCTAAATTCTCTGTACAGTGTGTAAATTATTTAAAAGAGAATTATGAAATTTATCTGAAGATGTTGATGGAGAGCTCTTCCTAGGCACAGAAATCCTGTACCACTAAAGGATATCTCCATGCTGCAGGGGAAGCCCTGGTGGACTGCTAACACCCATGTCAGAGTAATCTGAGTTTAGCAGAGCAACGTAAAGTTGCCGCATTCACACCGATGATCCCTGCTCACCTGTCATTCCATGGGAAAACTGCACCCTGGAGCCCTGGAACAAGCTCCCTGGGTTACAGATCTAGGCAATGTTTTCTGATGCATATGAAGCCCAAGGAAGAATGGACCACAGACAGCTTGAAATCAAATCTCCTCCAGGAACCACTTTTTACAGTGAAAACATTAATCTAAAAACTCAACCCTTAGTGCTTGCTTAGTAACTTTAGAAGAGTGAGGTCCTACCCCTCTGCTAATCTACGAGTCATGCTTTCACAAACAAGGACAATGAGAGGCAGGGATAGAAAACAGGCAATAAACTCCTTTTGTAAATAAAACCTCCAGCACCACCGGGTACCCCTGTATGCCTCAGCTCTGCCACGCACCATTGCTGGAGCTTCCTTCAGGGTAGAAATTAAACAGCCCACATATTACTTTTTGTGCTAATCTCTGGTGCTTGGCCATGACAGGCACTCCTGACCCTCCAACGCACAGCTTTAACAGGCTTCTTCCCATCGGCTGGGGCAAATAAGCACCAGGGGAGCAGTGGTCATTTTGAAGTATTCATTCTCAAAGAGATCAATATTCCACCTCCTCAATACACCCTTCACTCCCACTTTTAACAAACAGGAGCAGTAGTTTCACAGCTGCCCATTTCTGCTTAGTGCACATCTTGAGGGAACAGGGAGGTAAAAAGCCCCCATTCCCTACTACTCCTTCATAAACAGCAAAGGATCAAAATATACAAAATCAAAATATATCAAAAATGTTTGCCCTAATGAACATCCTTGGACACGTCTGCTGTTTCTGTCACAGCTGTGACTTTCAGCTAAGGACTGATGGGCTATTGCCATGTGAGCAAGATAATTTCCACTGTAGGTGAGGCACCGCCAACCCCCAGCCCCATATCTCCTTGTTTGGGGGTAATTTTGCTGCCTGTTCAGCAGAAAGTCCTACTAGAGGAAAACATGGGCAACAGAAGCCTGTGTAACACGCTGCAGAGGAAGACAACGGTGTCCATTCACCAAGGGGAACATTTTCTCTCATACCCCAATGCCATGAGCTGACGCATTTGCTCTGAATATTGCTTTTATGTTGGCTAGTTGCATGCACTGCTCCTAATCCTTGAACTAATTCTGTACATTTGAAGTGAACTGCATTTTAAAATTAGAATTTGAGTTCAACTATGTCCTCCAAGCCAATAACACCTTGTCTAAAATTAATTCCTGTTTCTGTTTTCATTTTGTCACCTCATTTTGAGTAACAGGATGACAGAAGATGGCTAAAAGGAGCTTGTTGAACAGCCTTCAGTCTGTCTTTGCTTAAAGACGTTTTCCTCAAAAACTGGAG